GCTCTCAAGCTGCTGTCCCACGATCCCCTTTCCCAAACCACCTCTAGCCCACCATCCATCACACTACATTGCCTTTCATTTCAGGAATCCTGCATCATCAACAATGTCCCCTGCACCAGCTTTCTAATCATAACAAAATGTTCCCTTCTTCCCCTTCCGTTAGTAGCTGTTTGGGCACACGTTTCTCCCTTACTGCTAAATGCAGCCTGACTCTTCCTGCTGAAAATATCATCCTTGCTAGGCTCGGGGCTTCTCTCAGTCTGGTAGATGCCAGCACAGAATGGAGAATTTCTCCATGGTCTGGACTGTGGCTGTTTTGGAATGCTTTGAATTAAATCTCGGTAAAGAAAAGAGAGAGACATGAATTCAAGGGAGATTCCAAACTTATAGGAAATCTGTAGGGATTAAGAACGTCCAAGGTCCCCTTCTATAATTAGGTCTTGTGATATTTTCCATGTCTTCATGATACCTCATGTGAAGGGAGTGATTTTTTCTCCTAAATACAAAGTAATTAGCACAACGAATAGAATCCTGGACTTGAAGTCAGGAAGACTTGAATTCAAATCCTGCCTTAGACATTTACTAACTGTGTGGCCCTGTGAAAGTCACTTACCCCCAATTAGCCTCTGTTTCCTTATCTGTAAAATGGGGATAATAACAGCATCCACCTCCTGGGGTGGTTGTGAGGAGCAAATGAGATAATATTTGTCAAGTCCTTGGAACAGAGCTAGCAAATAGTAGAAGCTTCACACATGCTTATTTCCTCCATGGAGAAATAAATTTCAGCTTGTCAAGGGCAAATTTCAACACCAATTGTGAATCAGGGGTTTCTTAAAGATTTGTTACTGTTGGGATGTTCAAAAGAAGAACTGTCCAGTAAATGGCATCCATGAAGTAGGTTCATTTCTTCATTAAGCCTACTAAACCCTAATGTCTTCGTGTCAATACTTTCTGCTATCATCGTCCTGCCTTTCCCATCTAGAGAATTCATATACTTCTGTCCAGAGAACTACAGCTTAACCTGGGTGTCATCTCCATTTGGTACTAGAATGTGATGGTAGACCATCATGGCCAATTCAGAGGTAGGGCAGCTTGACTCAACTGAATCAACTTGGGGTCTCATCAGTGCGTCTTCTTATTGAACACCCTTCACCTGCTATGGCTAAATTGAAAGACTGGAGAGAGAGAGAGAGAGAGAGAGAGAGAGAGAGAGAGAGAGAGAGAGAGAGAGAGAGAGAGAGAGAGAGAGAAAGGTAAGAACACAAACTCCCTTAGGGTTGATCTCACAAGAGACAGAAAACGATTGGAGAAGCTTCTCTGAGAGAAGGTTGAGTTGTGTCAGAAATTAAAAGAATTAGAGGCTGAAGTAATATAATTATGAGCTGAGAGGGAATTGTGGGATAGAGGTAGAAAATGTCCAAAGTACACAAGTGTGCCAGCTAACAAAGATGCAGGCAGGTTACTATTAGGCCCTTAGATGGAGAAAATTGGTGCTGGGCTTTTGGGAGAGGGTAGAGAAGGCAGAGGCAGAGTGAGAAAATGAGGAGGGAACCTAGAAAGAAGTAACAGAGGACTATACCTTGAGTGGGCAGTGAATAGGGGAAAAAAAAACCCAGCAAGTCTTCTGTTACCCAAGAAGCAAATCTGCTTCCTTCCCTCAAAGGGCTCCCCAACTGTCAACCACATGATCCTGAGACTGAAGGGCATAAATATAGCCTGGCCAGCAGCCAACATAAAGGGAAAAAATAAACACCTCATCATCTCAGCCTTTGAGGTGAACTTAATATGTTTATCAAGGAGATTGCTACACGTGAAAAGTGAACACTGGGTTCCTTCTGTTTTGGGGACGGACTGTGCACCTTTCTCTGGAAACTGGGGGTAGAGAGACTGAGGAGTTGGTTTTATTTTACCTTTTTTTTGTATTTACATTTATTTACGATTTGTTTTATTTAGTATTTATCATTTACTCATTTATTAATTTGTTTATTTTAGCATTTACTTAATATTTAATTTAATATTTATTATTTATTTTAGTATTTATTATTTAATATTTACTAGTTTTATTTACACTTATTTATTATTACAATGTATTTCACATATTGCATTGGCACTGGGGTGTTTTCAGATGCCTGTTAGTTGTTTCTGAAGCACTTGGGAGATGGTGAGTGATAATGGTGAAGTTATCATACTTTTCCCTCTACATTTTCTCTCTTGATCACCTTATTAACTCTCACTGGTTTCATTATCATCTCCTGGCAGATGACTCCCAGAACTATATGCCTGCCTGGCTTCAGCGTCTTCCACCAATCACCCATTGGACATTTCAAATTGTTGGTCCTGAGACCAGCACTTGGCACAGTGCTTGGTACATAGTAAGCACTTAATAAATACGTGTTGACTGACATATGAAACTCAACATGCCTTAAACAGAACTTATTATCTTTCCCCTCAAACTTGCTCCTCTTCCAAGCCTTGAAGGCACTACCATACTTTGAGCCTTCCAAATTTGTAAACATGGTGTTATTCTTCCCTTCTCACTCTCCCTCACCCCACATAGCCAATCAGTTGCCAAGTCTTGAGGTTCTTACATGACAATTTCACTCACATCTAATTCTCTCCACTCACACTGCTACTACCTTAGTTCAGACCCTTATCACCTCAAGCCTTGATTGGTAGAAGAGCCTGATAGTTGGGTTTCCTGCCTCCCCAGTTCAGTCCATTTTCCACACTGATGCCAAAGCATATTAATATAATGAAACATATTAACATCCTTAGGTATGTTAATATGTCAATGCCACTTCCCACGGTCACAAAATTCCTCTAAGTCAGGTAGTCTTAACCTTTTCTATGTCATGGGCCCTTTGGCAGTCTTATGAAGCATGTAGGTCCATTCTTAGAACAATGTTTTTAAATGCATAAAATAAAATACATATGATTGCAAAGGTAACCAATTATATTGAAATAATTGTGTATTTTTCTCTATCCAAGTTAATGGATCCCTTGAAATCTCTTCATGACTCTTTGGGACTCCAAAGAGTCCTACTCCGGGGTATACCAGTTCTAGCAAGAGGGACCTTCCTGTTTGGCATTTTCTACATACAAAGACAACATAAAATGCAAATAGGTGAGAGAGAAGGAAAACATTCTGAGAGCCCCAGGCAGGCTACTGACCCTGTAGTTGTCAAACAAACACAATGTCAATCTATCATTTTCATCACACAACATGGGAGGAGAGCAAAGCAGAGCGCTCCAGAGTCACCTGCCCCAAAGCTGCAGCGCAGGAGGTGAATGGGTACAATAATTAGTTCAGTCCAAAGATTCAAGAATCCCAATGGCACCATTGGTTAAATTGAGCCTTTGGCTATGAAATTAATCACTTTGATCCTGCCATATTTGCTAATCAGCTCTGCAGATGTCCCAGACACTAAATCACACCAGGATTTGAGACTGAAAAATAGGGGAAAATAAATCCCAAATTTTGGTGCATGATGAGGAAGGGGGTGGGGCTCATCCTTCATATTCTCTTTCCTGAGTGTCAGACCCATGGTCATTCCTAGGGAGATGTGAGACCTGGAAAATGAGTTTGTATCTAGGTGAAATAATCAACCTAAAATGATTATTGAGGACAGCTTTTAAGGCAGAAAGAAGTCATCAATTCATCAGCATTTATTAGGCACATACCAAGAGCCAAACATTACATTGGGTGTACAAAAAGAGGCAAAAGATGGTCCCAACCCTCAGTCTAATGGGAGAGACAACAAGCAAATATATGCAAAGAAGTTATATACAGGATAGGTAGGAAATAATGAACAGAGGGAAGGCACTAGAATTAAGTGGGATTGGGAGAGTCTTTCTTGTAAAAGATGGGATTTTAGTTGGGCCTGGAAGGAAACCAGGGAGCCAGGAGGCTGAGAAGAGAAGGAAGCATATTCCAAGCATGGGGGGGGGGGGCAGCCAGAGAAAATGCTGAGAGTCAAGAAATGGAGTGCCTTGTTTATGGAATAGCCAAGGGGAGGCTGTATCACTGGACTGAAGAGTACATGCAGGGGAGAAAGGTGAAGAAGACTGGAAGGCATGAGGGGGCGGGTTATGAAGGGCTTTGAATGCCAACCAGAGCATTTTGATTTGATCCTGGAAGTGACAGAGTCACTGGAGTTTATTGAGTTGCCAGTCAGACCTGTGCTTTCAGAAAATCACTCTAGCGGCTGAATGCAGAATAAAATGGAGAGGGGAGAAACTTGAGGCAGGCAGACTCATCATCAACAACATTAGCATTAGCGCCATGGAAGACAAAACATAATTATCTGTAGTTCAACATCTGAAGTTTTCTAAAAGGCTCAAACACACCAAAGAACATTACTTTTTTTTTTCTTTTGAAGCAATCAATGTTAAATAACTTGCCCAGAGTCACATAGCTAGTAAGTGTCTGAGGCTGGATTTGAACTCAGGTCCTCCTGACTCCAGGGATGGAGCTCTATCCACTAAGCCACCTGCCTGCCCTAGAACATTACATTTTTAAAGCTCATTTGTCTTATTTCCTTTCAGTTCACCCATCTAACTTTCTTTTAAAAAAGCATTTTATTCATTGCTTTTAAATCTTTTAAGACTTTCTAAACTTCAAACAGTATATGTACACAAAAAAGAACTTTCATCCAATTAAAAATCATGTACAATTTTTTAAAGCAATGGGCAATGTTGTATTACCTCTGGGGCAACATTGCTGGAAATAAATTGTAGGCCACAATGAGCCATCAGTAGACATGATCTAGAACGGTCCACAGGATGTTTGCAGGAACTGAATTCGATGTTTCTATAGGTAAGGCAGAGTGTTTCCATCCATGTGTCATCTATATTTGCCTAAGATGTGTGGCTCCAAACATAGCACTTCGAATGTGACTTTTAACTGGCAAATGAGTAGCTTCCACTTGCCTGTTATCTTTAAAACTAATTCACACCTGTAGGCATTGTTGGGTTCTAATGTTCTAGATCGTTCAACTCACCTGAACTTAATGCATGCTGAACTTGCTCCATGATTATCCGAGGGGACACCGTGTTACTGTCAGTCCCGCCCGCCTCATAGGTTGGCATAGTCACTTGGGAAGTTGTCTCTTCTATCATAGGCCCAGATGAAGTAGGAAGTGTTGGGGTCTCATTAGGAATGAGGTGAGCTCCAGGGGGTGTAGTTGTGGGAGTTCCCAAGGTTCCTTCACTGCTCTCTTGGCGGGTCGTGCTTTCAGTTGTAATGGAAGCTGTGACTACACTGGTTGGAGACACCTTTGGTGGCAACAAAGATGACGATGAAGAAGATGAGGCCAATGGCTGAGGGGAGGTGACTCCTTCTCCATCTGATGGAGGAGGAAAAACTGTGCTTGGAGTTGTTGTATCATTACTGATTTCTGGTATTGCAGAGCTGAGTACTGCATGGGTGGTTATAAGCTGGTCTTGGCTGCTCGTTGGCAATGGCCCATGCAATGACTGGTTTTTTGCTTTTCCTTCTCCCTCCTGACCGACAGTGGTAACTGTGGATTCTTGTACGGAGACTTTGCTGGTGCTGTCTGGGTCTCTTGGTGTTACTGATATGTTTCCGGGAAGTGGAGTTGTTTCAGCTGACAACGTCACCGTTAATAACGAGTTATTCTGTGTGCTATTGCTGGGGGAGGTGGTGACATCAACAGTATTTTGTGGAGCATTGGTCCAGACTGGAGACAATGTGGTAAATTTTGTTGGAAGAGAAACAGGAAAGGAGGTGGTTATAGGCAGACTCTGTACTCTTAAACCTGTGGAAGAATCAATGACAGGTTGTTAACATTAAGATTAGAGAGGTGAAGTTGTTATCTTAATGCAGTCAGTGGTGCGCTGGTAACTATTTAACAACTGGCTTTCAGGAAAAAAAATTAACAAAACTGTACCTACGACACATTTTAAAGTTTAGGTTACATTATTAACATTTTCTCTATTGCTCTAAGTCTTGACAATCAATAAGACAATGAAACCATGATTTGTGGCATTTGCTGATTTCTAAGGTGTAAGTATTCACACCAATCATTTAACAATCAGCTCTCTTGAGCCCATTCAACTGGCTCCAGCCACATATAGTTATATCTATCTCCTCTCCAGTTTTGAAGGGAATTTCATATTGTCCTCTCTTCAGTTTTGCAGAGGAAGTTTTTATTTTTCTCCAACTCATTTGCCTCCCTTCATGTAATTGTCAAGAGACTTGTCTTCTGAAGGCTTGGTAAGAGTAGGCAGCTGGTCAGACAACAATACATGCAAAGCACTGAAATGGATGAATAACCACTTAAATGCCATTTTTTTGTAACCCTGATTTTTCCCTAAGCCTGGATCGTGGAAATCTGATGGGAGAAACTAATATGTTACCTGGTCTTTAGGAATGCCTGTGGAGTGTGTTTGGCCAGAGCCTTATTCAGTTCTGATGGGGAGAGCAAGTTGACTGGCATTCCTAGTTACAGTTAGTGGGTTCTAGGAGGGTGCTCTGTGCTTTACTGAAGGAGGATTGAGAATTTGCGTCTTAGGGAATGGGAGGACCATTCTTGTTCCTCTCCTCGATCTCATTCTATTGAAAAGTCAAGCATATGGAAGTGCCATTTAATTCCATAGCCCAGAACACGAAGCAAAAATGTGTTGAATGAGCATTTATTTAAATGTTAGTCAGCTTATCTCTTCTGGTGCTGGGAATCAGAAACACTCAGGAACATCAGATCTGGGAGCATGAAAGCAATTTTTAAGTTCATTTATCCCAATCACCTCCAGTTCATAAGGGAAGAAACTGAGACCCAGAGAATGAGTGATTCATTTAAGATCGTATCACTACTTGTTTGTGTCAGGGTTCGTGCCTATTGCTTATGAATGACTTTGGGCATGCCACTAAAACTCATTGAGCCTCAGTATC